GTACCAATAAACTTAATGGGGAAAAAAAGAAAAAAGAAAGCTTGCCTAGGGTAGTTAAAAGAAGAGTGAATGCTCTCAAAAACCTTCAAGGTAAATGTGTGCAGATAGAAGCCAAATTCTATGAGGAAGTTCATGATCTTGAAAGGAAGTATGCTGTTCTCTACCAACCTCTATTTGATAAGTGATTTGAGATCATTAATGCAATTTATGAATCTACAGAAGAAGAATGTGAGTGGAAACCAGATGAGGAAGAAGTTTCAGAGGAGCTGAAAGAAAAGGCCAAGATTGAAGATGAAAAAAAAGATGAAGAAAAAGAAGATCCTAAAGGAATTCCTTAATTTTGCTTGACTTTTTAAGAATGTTGACTTGCTCAGTCACATGGTTCAGGAACATGATGAACCTATTCTGAAGCATTTGAAGGACATTAAAGTGAAGTTCTCAGATGCTGGCCAGCCTATGAGTTTAATCTTAGAATTTCACTTTGAACCCAATGAATATTTCACAAATGAAGTGTTGACAAAGACATATAGGATGAGATCTGAACCAGATGATTCTGATCCCTTTTCATTTGATAGACCAGAAATTATGGACTGTACAAGGTGCCAAATAAATTGGAAAAAATGAAAGAATGACACTTTGAAAACCATTAAAAAGAAGCAGAAACATAAGGGACGTGGGACAGTTCGTACTGTGACTAAAACAGTTTCCAATGATTCTTTAATTTTTTGCCTCCTCCTGAAGTTCCTGAGAGTGGAGATCTAGATGATGATGCTGAAGCTATCCTTGCTGCAGACTTTGAAATTGGTCACTTTTTACGTGATCGTATAATTCCAAGATCGGTGTTGTATTTCACTGGAAAAGCTATTGAAGAAGATGATGATGATTATGATGAAGAAGGTGAAGAAGCAGATGAGGAAGCGGAAGAAGATGAGGAAAATGATCCAGACTATGACCCTAAGAAGGAGCAAAACCCAGCAAAGTGCAAGCAGCAGTAAAGCATGATGGTCTACCTTCTGCTTTCCTGGAAAGGATGACTTTACATCATGTGATGAGACTATTTCACAATTTTTGTTTGTTTGCTTATTTTTGTTTTTTGCTGTCTAAAATAAAAATGTTAAATGCAATTTTAGTTCTCACAAGGTAATGTCTTAATTTTGTACTAATTCAGGTTAGAAGCAGAGGCTTAACTTAGATTAATGATTATTATGCCCAGTTTAACATATTGAAGGAAAAGGAGCCAACTTTGGAAGATCTGATAAGCAAGTGGAAAACAAAAAGTAAAAGCATAAAACCTCTAAATGGTGTGATACATTTTTTAAAAGAAGAAAAGTTAAATTTCATATTTTTGGATTATAACTAGA